GACAACCTTTTAATTTTTTTTTTTTATTGATAAATGTACCTATTAAAAATGTAAATTAATAACAATTGAAAAATTATGACAGAGTATAATATGTGTGGTTTACAACTATTTGCTAAATTATTAATAAATACGTCATCGTTATGTATAATAGCCACTATTGTTGAAAATCACTATTTAATTGAACATTTTGAATATTATTATATTCTACAGAATGTACTTTAGAACTTATTCAACATTATCAGCGTAGAATTGTATGAAAAGCCTTGTACTTAAAATGTATAAAAAATTACTAATTAGAATTATTCTATATATTCATATATTTTAATTTGAGATATAGTGATATAGAAATTTATCATTAAATTATTTTTCCTCTTTTTTGTTGTACTTAACTAAAATGTATTTTAGATTCTGAGTGTAAGGATACATGTATTGATTTTAACAGTGATGCGTGTTATTATTTATTGGCGTGTCTACACAGTACACGATTTATAGTAGACAAATGTTTTGATCTTAATATTTGAGTGTGGTTACTGTTATGAAGTATAAACTTTTTTATAATTTTTAAAAGTCAAAATTTAAAATTTTTAAATTTCAAGTTTAAATTTGATAATACTGAGTATTTAAACAGAAAATGGCGATATTTTATCTTGTTGTAATTTAAAAAGTAATATTTTTCAGAACTTCACATTTTTTGTTAATGCTTACAATATAAGTTTTACATATTATTATATACTATACGCAAAACACAATGTAATTTTCAAATATATTTAGCCTAATTTCAACCTATTACATACTTACTACTTCTTATTGCCTATTATTATTTAGCTATACTACAAAATTATTCATACAATCGTATATTATCAGGAGATAATATCTACTCAATTGTGTATAAAATTGTATATTATATAAATAATATAATGATTTATAATAAATTAAATATCATTTTCACAATGAAAAATAATTTAGCTTACAATATTAATAATTATAAAAAAAATGTCTATAATAACAACATAAATATAGCATAAATTATTATTAGTATAGTAAAATATGCTGACAGATCGTCTCTATCCAGAATCTTTTTTCGTATAGGATGATTCATCATTGAACTAAAATTTACTACATTCACTAAAGTGCTTCCTGAATGATGAAGTAGGTACACTCGCGCCTACATTACATCAAAGTTGTTTCTTATGCTTTTCCATTTTGTATAATACGTAGATGATGCAATTTTATTGTATCATATCTCAAATCATCTAAATAATTTTTTTTTTCGGGAACTAATATTTTTATTCTCTAATTGTACTAAGGTTAATAAATTAAATTATTTACCAAGTACCGACATACGTTTAGGTTATACATTGTGTAAATAAAAAATATACATCAATATTAAAGAAACATATATGAAATATAATTTAATTTAATTTAAACAAATATTTCAACTAAAAAAAAAAAAAAAAACAAATAAATAAATAAATAAATAATAAAGTAATTAAGTAATTTTAGTAATTTTAGTAATTAAAAAAAAATATTTTACTATTACACGACGTCAATACCGACGTATAGTTTGACTAACCTCAATTAAAAAAATATTGAATTATCGATGAAAAAAAAATTACTACCAACCTAACACTGTGTAGAGACTATATTTAAAGATACATTAAACAAAATATAGATTAAGCTATTACATCATAATAGTAAATTGTAAACCAATTTCTGACGAAGTTTAACAATCTACACCACATCTGATTGATTATATAATGTCTGTAATTCAGTTTTGTGTAATTTATCAAGCAGACCTTTATTTTACATATTATTAGTAGTGAAAGAAGTGAAACCTTTGATTTTTGTTAGGATAAAATAATATAGATTAGCTCAAAAAAAATTTGTTCCGTATAAGTATATCTGATGGGTCAAAAATGATAATTTATAATCTAATTTATACATTTTTTTTTTTTTTTTTTTGTTAAATCTAGTATAATCTACATACATATTAGTTTTTTAATAACTCTGAAAATAAAACTTTTGCAAATATAAATTTCAAATATTGCCAGTTAGTAATTTTCTTTTTTGGTTATTTCATTTTTTTTTATTTTTAATTAGTTTGTTTAAGAATATGATAAAATACATGGGCTTTAAAATTCAGCAACTGTTTTTTTTTCAAATTTATAACGGGAGTACAAAAAAAAAAAAAAATAATTATAATGTAAAATTTATATTTCAAAAATTGATACTACTTATATATATATTTTTTATTTTATACGTAATTTATATTATTTTTTTCATTGTGATTTTATATTTTTTGCACTATTTAAAAAAAAAAGCATTTAATTTTCATTAATAAAATGTATTAGTTTTATACTTTATGTAACTGTATCTACAAATATATAATATGCTAAGACAATTTATTATGCATTTGTACATTTAAAGGTATCTTTATGAATTATTTCAAATAAATATTTAAAAATGTATTCTAATAGAATTATGTACTAACGTTAGTTACCTTAGTAATATTATGATTTCAAACCTAGAATTTTTAACTAACTATTAATGAATAAGTCACATTCCCATTATAATGTTAAGTAAAATCCATATGAATTTAAAATGCTTTATGATAAGCGTTTTTATTATTTTTGTTATTAAAATGTATTTATTTTTGTTTTTAACGGTTGATAAAAATTATTATTTTTTTAAACATCAAAAAATCACATTGTTACTTAATTTTTAAGTTTCTAAAAAAAAAAAATTGAGTACACATGGCCAATTTATTTTATTTTTAACAAACACTTATATAGTAGTATTAAATTAATCATATATTATGCTCAAAATGATATATGAATGTGTCTTTATAGAAAATTAACGAGCCAATTACACTGAAATATATTCATTTGATTTTCGATTTTTTCTTTTCGGTTAAAATATTATGTTTCATACTCTAAATTATTTTCTTACTACATAGTATATAATAAACAATTAAACTAAATAATACATAATATTGTTATTTTAATCGTTGCTTAAATAATTAATGATAATTCTGATTTCCAAAACATTTGAATAAGTATGATTGTTAGTCATTAAAATATTATTGATCAACTTAGAATGTAAATAATTATTTTAGTTTGATAATATTCACATTATTCATTATTCTCTTTCCTATATATGTAAATATCTGAGAATTTATCACGTAATGAACCTAGGTGTATTATAAAGAGTAAATGATAAAATAATTTAATAATAATTGTTTAAATACATTTTGAAAAAGATGCAACTATTACAAAATATTTAATAATTATTTTTAAAATTTTAAAAACTATTGTTAAATATATCTACCGAAATATAATATCCAATTTTAAGTATCATCAATGTTCTTATGCTCGTTAGTTGTATAGAAATTTGAAAGTATTATTACCAATGGCTTTAAATTTTGTCCTGTATTATATTTTCTATCTATACAAGTACGTAATACGTTATGAGAAAAACATTTCCAGTTTTATAGGAGTAGGCACTACAAACAAATTTGCATTACATTAAACGAGTGTGGATAGTAACAACCAAGGTGCATTATAATCTATTAATATTAACGGGTAAAGTCATAAAAGAGGTGAAATGTATTGCCTTCATTTTGAGAACGGCTTTTATGAATAGTGTACAGCTATTATACAAAAAAAAAAAAAAAAAATGTTTTTGAGATAAAACCACCAATTTACAGTAGTTCGCTGTAGTTTCTCCGTATAATTAGAAATTCAATGATATTTCAGTACGTTGATTATTATTTATGATAACGTAAATGTTAGCCATTTGCATGAGCAAATTTTTCTAAATAATTATAATATATTATTATAAAAGTAATATTAAACTTACTAATATAGGCAATAAATATATTATGTTATAATTTTGTATTCACATAAAAATGAAGTTGGTAAATAATACATTTTTGAAATTGTACTGTTAATCAGATTTCATAGTATAACTTACTCTTAACCCATAGGCATCAAGGTATCTAATTAAACAAAAATAAATATTATCACCTACTTACTTAATTATATATATAATCGTAATTATAAACTTTACACACCTACTTAATTAGTATTCAAAATAAATTGCTTTGATTAATAAATCTTTTCTAAAGAAATTGTTTGTTTTAGTACTATAAAATTATTCTTCTATCATTTTATAACTTAAGTAATACTTTATTATGTATCTTAGATTTTGTTTTGTAAAAATATTAACCCAAGAAACAAATTGTATATGTATAAAAAAAACAAATACAATAATATTTAAAAACTCAAAAAATTAAGTGAAACTCGTTCGTTCATACACTACACTAAAAACAAAAAATATTTCTGATACATAACTTATTTGAGTTACTATGATATAGTATGATATTACATTTTGGATTTACTTAAAATATTTAAAAACTTATTAATCTTTATTCAAATATTTCCAATCAAAAGATTTTTGGCTTATAATTAAAACCTTTTAGTATGTCAGAAATAGAACGCTTTATAACAACATAAATATTCAAACACCATGCACATTGATTCCAATCTATTAGAAACACATACAAATCACTAAGTCTTATAAGTATATTATTAAGTATACACTCAAAGCCATTATAATTCGCTTTCAATTAATGCTGCAATACTGTTTTGGATTATCCATCATTTCATTGCGAAAGAAAGTTATAAAGCAATATCCTTAATATTTAACCCTGAATAACTATAAACTCAAATAAACTATATCTGAAGTAAATTCAATAGAATTTCACCATTTGTCGTGATATCAAGTCTTCGGTATGTATATTTTATTTTGTATGCTAATATAAATTGTCTTATATAAATATTATGAATTCTCTATTTTAATAAATTGATTAACAAGATCAATTGAATACATCAATGAATCTATGTTACAATATTTATCAAAAAATCAGTAATTTTGAAAATAACATTTAAAGTACAAAAATACGAAACTCACTTAATATCCTATAAATATAATACACTAACCTGTTGTTAACGATGTGGTAAATACGTAATCGACTTGTTAGAATTTTTTATTCAGCATGATATTTGTGAAGCTATAATAATAATAAAAAAAAAAAATCAGAGATTAATAAACTTTATAACAAATTTTAAATGAAAATTAATTATTGAATATATATATATATATATATATATATATATACGTATATAGTAATTGAATCAGATATTTAATCATTTGAATAGCATGTTATAATTTTATTATCTGTTTAGTACAATTGATATAGGTTTGACTATTTTAGAATTAAGTATTTTAAATTTGCTTTAAGCATTTATTCAAGTCTTTATAATTTAATATTGGTAAACAATTAGTATTATATTTTGACTCATATATATCATAGACATTAATAATGCATATTTGAAGATAATTTGCTGGATCAAAATCAGTTTATCATATATTTTAAGTTAAATAATGTTCAATAGTAAGAGTATAAATTTTTTGATATAATCTATGATTCACATATTTTTCATGATGGTTATTTTTACCAATAATATATCAAGGTGACCTGCAGAGTAAAAATTGTTTATTTTATTTGAAAATACTATTTAAAACAAAAATTAAATTCATAAAGTATCAAAATATATTGTAGAACAATAATATTGTAATTTAGCTGAATTTGTACTTATTTTGCTAAAACCCAATAATTAATAATTTGGTATTAGTTTTTATAATTTTAAACATTGTAAAGTTGTAATTGAGCAGACAAACAATATAGTTAGTTTTTAAGATATTTATAGATTGCTTAACTTAAATTAATGTTATTTTTGAATTATTTTTAGTTTGTTTTTTTTTTACTAAAAACAATTAAATGTTCCAGAATACAATATAAAATAATTGTCCAGCTATATTTTGTTAAAAAATAGTAATAATAATGAACTATAAAAATAGTTTTAAAAGAAAACAACTCTACGTTACACACGAAAATATAAAGTTCAGTTATAAAAATCAATCTTTTTAGTTTCAGCATTAAAAATTTCAACTAAAAAACTAAATAAAAATATATTTAAATTTGCTGTAGATTTGTTTAGTGGTTTACTTGTATTTATAAATACATATAAAAAAATGGAAATTCTCAATGAAAACGAAGATGAAGTATATTATTATGAATAGTCGGTTTTAAAGCAATGCCCTTGAGACATATTCTTATTTATGGAGAGGGAGTAAGAAGAAAAGATAAGAAAAAATGACACTCAAGATTTTATTCTGCTTTGATACTTTTGACTAAACATATTTCACAGATCCCATTTACCATCTATATATACACATATTGGTACTACAATCTACGCCTATATTGAACACCAAAAACGTAAATCGCATTTACATTTGTTTAACAAATAGCTAAATTGTGAAAAGCTGTATTTTATAAGATTGACAATAAACATATAAGTCTTCGCCTCAAATATTAAATATTTTTTTACATTTTATTTTCTGTAAAAATTGACTAATATTATTTAAAAATTATATAATCTATAAAATAACATACTCGCTAAGGAATTTTTCCAAAACTTAAGAAGTAAATCTACTATTTTTTTTTTTTTTTTTTAATCGCTATGTTTAGCACATCCCATAATTTACATGCATAAAATATTTTTATATATCTAGTGTTCAATATAAATAATAAAAACCAAAATCAATTCAAAATAACAAATTATGAAAAATCAAACATAATATAGACAACTTGGAACTACAATAAAAACGGAAACTATAATAAACCGACTGAAATTCGACTTATGAAAAACCAACCTTCAATAGAATGTATCTCAAGTGTAGTTACTTTCACAGTAAAATATTTGATGAGAGAATGTAGATCAAACTAAGAAGAAAGGAAAATAAACATAACATGTTAACAAACCTATACAAAATAACCGGACCCGACTGTCAACCAGAAAACATCACGTCATTCCTCAAATGAATGAAGCAAAGTATTTAATAAAACTTATACTTAAAAAACTTATATTAAAATGGTAATCGAGTTGTAATTAAATGTTTAACAGGTTGACTGCCATGAGATTCCATACTGGATCTCACCTCTCCGTATCCACGCTGCCAAGGTTTTTTTGTTAAATTGTTCAAAAAAAAAATTTGGAAAAAAAATTCACCTGTCTATTTCAAAATTTGTAGATATCTTTTCAAATTTATTTTAAATGTTTTCCAAGTGTTATTTTATTGTTTATGGATGAGATCCAAAATAGGATCTCATGGCGTGGGTGGCACTTTCAGTTTTTAATTAGTTTTATATCCATACAAAGTGAGATCCAAATTGACCCCTCAATTCATCAAATCTTTATAGTACTTATCTATTAATAATAATGTGTAGTATGATATAATTTTTGAAACACTTACAAATTGGAATATTTATAATAGAATATTTATTTATTTAAAAAAACAAATTTTAAAATAACAACATAAATTGATCACCTTTTGAACAAAATATAATATTAGAACTTAGTAACATGTCTAAGAATATTGAAATATTTCACACATTTTATAATAATAATTAATTATCACATAATAAAAAAACTTAAAACTAATATAAAAATGATTAACATCATATAATAAAATAACATCATCAAACTCGTCGAAATCAGAATCCAACATATGACTAATAATGTGTTCATCCATTTTGTTAAAATATGTTCACTTCTTGAATAAATATTGTACATACAGTGAAACGAGTCAACAGCAAAAAATTAATAAATCGTCATTTTATAAATTGTAATATCATTTATCATGATAACAATAATGGAGGGAATTTTATCAATCACACTATGAGGTCTTGTACATTTGTACCGATGTTCACTATTCCTACCGTTCACCTTTGTGCAACTCGTTAGCGCATTAAAAGTAATAATTAAGTCAATTAAAAGCATATTAAAGGTTATTTTGGTAGGATAAACGAAAAAAATCATAAAAAATAAACAAAAGACGTTAATTCCTTGCTAAAACTACCAAATAAAACTAGAAATACGGTAGAATCCAATCACGTTTAAATTACCGTGATATATGAGATCCAACTCGAGATCTCAATTACTAAAATGTAATATACGTGAGATCCCCAAATGGATCTCAAAAAAATGTTTGGGCATTTAGATGAGATCCAAATATGGGTCTCATGGCGATGTGATCAAAGTTGACAAAAAATGGTTTGGCAGTCAACCTGTTAAATATGTATAAAGCTGATTTCCTTTGCTGTTGAAGCTCAAGATCAATTAAAAAAAAAAAAAAAAACACAGAGAGTCACGCAAATTTAAGATTACATACTTAAACAAGTTACATTTTCAGACTTTTTATTTGAGGTAAATTATTTGTGAATAACAATTGTCTTCATTATATTATTGAATAATATATAAAAACTCGAAATATAAAAATGCATATTATTAAATGTTAAGGAGTTCAATTTCCAACTATTTATTTTACATTTAATAATATAATTATTATACAATTATTACAATGTAGTTCTTCCTTTTGAATAACAAAAATCAAATTTCATATTATGTTGTTCTGAAATGTCAAATGAACAGGATTTTAATAATATAAAAATAATCTGTTTAATGTTTTAAAATTTAACATACGTATTTTTATCAATTATCACATAAATTTCAAACATTGAATTCAAAACAAAGAAAAAACAAAAATAATTTGAATCATAATATATTGGCATACATATTTCATAAATCAAATTATATATTTCGTTGGAAGATTTAAATAAACTTGTATCTTTTTTTTTTTATCTGTTCTTTTAATTTTATGGTCTACATATTGTTTTTATAATAACTTCTGATGAGAAAGTGTAATTTTAAAAAATATGCTTATTGATTTTTTTGCTTATTGAATCAAACATTCATAAATTATTAGAGACTATTACAAATACAATAATCATTATAAATATGATCGATCTAATGACGTGTCTATTATCTAACTGTCACCGTGTATTTACCTGTAGAAGTAAACGTCACCGTTCAGATTGTTTATAATGTTGATAGTTAGAAACGAATAAGTGTACGTGTGCTAGATAATTATTATTAACGCTTACATTATGTATCGAATGACGTACACAACAAATAACAATATCGAATCATATGAATAAAATACGAATTCAGCTACCTATTATGATAATGGTACAAGAAAACTACCCGATAACGGTCGTTTATGTAGGCGTACCCTTTACCTTAATGAAAATCTATGGAAACTTTTAAAGACAAACTCAATCTGAGAATAACGATATTTTATCATCCGGAAACAGCTTCCAAAGTTCTGTTTTATATCTAAATGTTTATTACAAACAATAAATCTGTACTCAATACTGTTATCCATTATAATTTTATTGAATGGCAAAAACACGTCGAACATAAGGGTACATCGTGTATACTGTACCTACCTACGCTGAAGCGTATATTAATTAAGTTTCTGAAGGGTTTATTGCATAGAAAATTAAATTATTGTATTATTTTGTGTTATTATAGTATCAAATGCTTTTAACTTTTAATCGTTTTCATCATCGAATAAATGTACAGATATACACGTAATTCGAGGACGATATTTTAATTTTATCGTGCGGTTTAAACTGCTTTTGAAAAATTGAAAACTTCAAAGTATTCGCATACTCTAACAATACATATATATATATGATGGATATTTTGAACGGCTTTCTTAAACGTTTATACCGAGTAAAAAACATACACTGTTTTTTTTTTTTTTTTTTTTTTTTTAAATACAAATTGGTTTTTATTCAGACACCTATTTGTATTTAACACACGGGGTTGGCTATCAAATCAAATGGATAAGAACTAATTGGATAAGGGACTCTCGACGCTAGCGGCGGTGGGTAATGCGATGAGAAAATAAAAATTCCTCTGCTTCGACGTGGGCTGTGGAACGGAAAGAAGACAAAGATGTGACATAGATAATATTGAGTAGATTTTTTTTATTTATTCCGCTCGTTTTTCCCGCAGTTTGTTGAACTGTCGGTGGTGGTGGCGCTGCACAGTGCACACGCTGTAATCCTCGCTGGCTCATTATTACGTCGGTGAATTTAAA